CACACACACACACACACACACACTCACCTCTAATATGTATCGATATATGCCACCCTTTATGATCGGTTGTGCAATTTCTAAAACTGCACTGTTACGATAACATTTGCAACAACACAACAGTTAAACTTGTAACGTGTACACACCCATTCCTTTCTCACACCTTTTTTTAACCTACTTAATTGCAGCAACATATCAATATCAGCTCACCTGTGCACACGCCCATTTCAATCTAAGTAATGTCTACGCTTCTTCACTACTTTTTTAATCACAGGTCTCGTCGACCGTCTCAGTGGTTGGGCTTCCTTTTCGTGGTCACCCTCAACTCTTGCCGGATCGTCTTGGATCATCTCCTCGCCCGTACTCTCCGATCTCATATCTATTACAGAAATGTGTTCGCGTGAACCCTCACCTTTCGCCACTTGCTCTGTTGTTGCTGCCACCTCCTCTTGTGGCACCTTCACCGCATTACTTTCATCATTATGGCCAGCTTCGGTTTCCATCATCTCAGATATGCCCTTCAGCGCTGCCATTGTCACCACGAGAGACCTGAAAGAACCAACGTTTGTTGTCCCTTCGTTGACCCCCTCTGTTGGCTGCTCTGTCAATGCGTCGGACTCCATCACATTGTCGTCGCCGTCCTTGAGTATCATTGTCGTATCCCCCATTGCGCTTCGTGGAGTGCTTTGTTGACCACATGCTTGCTCCTGTTCATTCTGCACTTGGCCTGCGTTCGCACGTGTGTCCGTTTCGCAGGCAGCATCCCCTCGGGCGATCGCAACAATGGTGTTAGATGCGATAACGTCTTGAGTCCTTAGAGAGGTGACGCTATCGATTCCTTGGGCTGCAGGAGGCAGGTCGATTTTCCAATTGATGGAGCCGTACGACACACTTGATGGGAGGTCGTAGAACTTTGTGCTGAATTCAAGTTGTTTGTTTGCGCGTAGATGCTCGAACAAAGCTTTCGCCTTCGCTGCTATAGCCTCCTCGCTCGCACCGTCATTTTCTTTCAAAACTCGTCGATGAATTTGCGTCTCCATCACGCTGTGCCATATCGCAGCGTTCTTTTTCTCCTTTGCGACCCAGCCTCGGTCTCTTGTCTTCACAACCATCTGCCATGTCCCTGCGAACACACACGGTTCGAACACACCCTCATGCCAGAGGATATGATGACCCCAATTGTCCTCCGATGACTCTTTGCACTTGTCCTGCAGCAAGTATGGCACCGACGGGTTCGGGGCAAATCCTTGAGGCAACGGTCTTCCTGGCACGAGCTTCGGCTTGATCGTTGTCATGTCCAACTCTTCGTCGTCATCGGTGTCCATGGACATGACTGTTCTTTGCTCCGCCTGCGTTCCACGTGTTGATGATGGTCCGGTTGTCGGCGGGCCCATTGGGCACCCATTCTCTCCCCCCCTTGTGTTGCCCTGTGAGTTAACTGTCCCCTCGCCCGCACCCACCGGGTTTATCGCTACACCATTCCTTTCCCTACTTCCGGTGTTTCTTGTTTCCGCATTCCCCTCATTTGCATGTGTTGCTCCCATGCTCGAGCTCGGCCTCTCCGCAGGTCCATTGGTGCTCCCCTGCGGCTCTACTCCAGGCGCTCCCCCCACCGCACCTCGTGCTGCGCGCGATGGGATGTCCAGGTCGGAGTCTGATGTGTCTTCGTCGCAATCGATGTTGTTGAAGTTGCCGGCTTTACGTGCTAAGTCTGCATAGTCCCGGCTGTCCAGTGCTCTTTTCTTCATATTGTAATATAGATGCTCGCAACGTGCGACGAACATGTGGAAAGCACCCATGTGGGAGCCGTGGTACTCATTCATTGCCATCTCGATTTCGCTTTTCCTGAGGACGTAGTCGTTATCAAATGCCAACTGTGGAGCGTCACCGAACAAGTAAGCCCACACTTTATCCCTTTTCCTACCGAGCTTGTAGTATATGTCCCGGTCCTTGCGGTGCTTGACTTGGGGCTTTTCGAACTTGCATTTGTTCCTCGGGTCGTTCACGTTGAATTCCAAGAACTTGGAAAGGTAGGTGAGCTCCTTTGTCGTGTTGTCGCATGCAAACACGTGGTGTCCGGCCTTAGCCAGTTCCCATATCAGTCCCGCATGTGCCCTGCCCAGCAGCATCACGCCGTCATCCTCCCTGATGAACGAGCTGCATAGCTTCCGGAGACGTGCAGGCTCTCGTTCCATCCAAGAATAAACCGCTTCAGTGTCGCCCTCCACACCGATACACTCCCCTGAGCACCTCACAAATTTCACCCTCTTCAATGTTCAAATTTGTGAGCTCCGCTCGCAATTTCGGCGCAATCGTTATATTGCTCAAGTTGCGGTTCTCGGCGTGGAGGACAATAGCCATCATGTCAATGTACCGAACCGCAATGTTGTCGTACCTGCTCATGGTCGTCGACGGTGTGTAGTGTCTGTACCAAGACCCGGTGAGCACCTCGACATCGTCCCACTTGTACACACTCTGCATCACCTGTCTCTGGTGCTTCATCGACGCGAAAATAATCAATGCCCAGTTTTCGCCACAACACGTCGTGAGGAAATCGTGCATTCTGGAAAAAGCGCCATCATCCTACGGAACATGCTTGGGTGATGTTGACATATCAAGAATGGCTGCTCGTATCCTCATTCCCCTTGCCGTACCGACAACCTCCTCGTTATCGGTGAGCACTCCCTTCGGTTCGATTTCATACGGCATGATCATTGTGATCCTTTTCCCAACTTCCCAAAAGATGTGACGAGCATTGCAGGACATCCGATTTACCTCAGCCCTGAGTTCGTCCAAGCGATCGATCACCTCATAGATGAAACACTTGAGGTGGAACGGGGTTTCCTTGTACATGGCTTGGGTTGCTTCCAGCCCCGCACCGTTCTCGCCATTTATCTCATCAKGACCGCCCAAACGCCTCGGCACTTTCCTCACCTTGTCGTCAGGAATGCGGTCGCGTTCCTCGGTCCATTTCAAGTCGGTGAGGCCGTTTTTGCTATACCTCTCCATGATTGTCGTATAACCGATGAAGAAGTCTGCGTTCCACTCATCCTTTGACCTCTCCTCGACCTTGAACAATATGTAGTTGAACATGCGGACCATATATCTCTCTTGCCGAGTATATTTTACTAGGTCCGCCATGTTGCACCCTCCACGCGGCACCATACGTGATGTAATGATAACATCAGCACGCATCATGTGGTGTAGCGCCACTTGCTTCTCTCTCGCTGTCAAATCCCCAAACAACTTGAAGATGGAGGGCGTCAAGTCCGGTATAGACACCGTTGCGCCTGGAGGCCCCTTTTTGGCCTTGATGCAGTGGAACAAGATTTTTTTCCCGGAGTTGTCCTTGACAAAGTACTGCCCCGGCAGCCTCCCTTCCACTTTCCCCGGCAGATCGATGTATTTCACACCGTCAACTCTTGGCAGCTGCCCTTCCTCGTACATTTAAAAAAATCTATCCACCAATGGCCACACCGTTTCGCCGCACTGCGCAAGATTCATGTATCCCTGCATCTTGTTTGTCCAGTCCTTGCAATACTCGTTCTCCAGGGACGACGTCACGAGACTGGAATCCGGTGTCATTTTGCAGGCAGCATTCATGAACTCTTCCCACTTATTTTTTGTTTCAATCCTTCCACGTCATTCGGGGACACGGTGCCTGGAGGACGGATGCGGCCACACCTCTTCTCCCAATAAGTTCTGATTTGCCGCACCGACGACGAAAACGATCGCGGGACAGAACGTTCTTCCCTTGTGTTGTCGAATGTCGACACATACGGATATCCTCTCTTTGTGTTGTCGTCAAAGTAGACAACACGCACGTGAGAATATGACCTCAAGCCGTATCTTTTCTCGGACGGTGACTTGTCCACTATGAGTCTGTTCATAGCCTCAGCCGTGTGCTGGCCGGCAACAGCATACCAGTGGTACGTATGCGCCTCCTCGACGTCGAATTCCTGTGGTGTGATCCGTCTGCCTTGAGAGCCGTCCCGACTGGGCACAATGGGGGCCAGGATGAAAGTCATGAAATCCCACTGCCGTTGGTTTCCTTGGCCGCATTATGGATCGCATCGTATATGGAATGCACCAACGTTTCATCCAACGTTCTGTGGTTGTAGAGGATGTCACCTTCCGGAATTGGCAAGATCTTCGTTACATCCACTTGAATGTGTACCCGATCCTTCCTCATGTAGCCATCTTCATCGAACTCCAAGAAGAAGCACTTTGTTGTGTCCACTGTGACAGATCGATTGTCAAAGGAACGCTCTGTCTGTTCGGACAGAGCCCTAGGAGCAACCCCTTCGGCGTCTTCTCCGGAGTCACCCTCGTCGACCATCTGCTTTCTTTTCATCGGACGTTTCTCTGCTTTTGTCGCTCTGGTTGACGCCTTCCCTTTTCTGTTCTTCACGCTATCAGTGGCCGCCTCTTGAGAAGCTCTTAGTGCCTCTCGAGATACAGCGACTGTGAGTCTCTTAGCAGCGCGTTTACCCGCCGCCCCCATCGGACTTGTTGAAGATCGCCGCTTCCTTTTCTGCACACTGCCCTCCGACCGATCTCCTGCTCCCTCATCGACCTCCATATCATCGGACCCTTCCTCCCCTCCATCCTCATCATCGGCAAGGCAGTCTTCATCGTTTTCCCCACCGTCCCCATAGTCGCCCCCATCGAACTGTCGAGACTCTCCGTCCTCGCAGTCGGACAGAGAGTCCTCACGCTCCTCGCCCTCTCTCTCTCGCTCGCTTATGTCCTCGTTGGCATCGTCCTCTTGGACCCCACATTGCTCATCGTCGACGACAAGATTACCCTGCGCGTTCCGCTCAACATGAATCTTGGAATCGTTCTCCGTTCCTTCGTCTGATCCCTCGCTCCTCTCCCACAGGGCTGCCCTCCTGGACGCACCTCCATCGCCCTCCTGCCGATCAGGAGCCCGACGACCTGCCGATCCCTTCCTTGAGGATGTGACGACAGGGGTGCCTCCGCGTTGCTGGGCGGACTGCCGAGATGGTCCTGCACATTCCTTCAAGCGGGCCGATTCGACAGAAGGACCTCGCGCCCCTTCCTCGGTGTGACGACGTGGCTGGCTCTGTTTTTTTCGACGCCGGCTCCCACCACCTGAGGTATGTTGCGTTGGAAAACAATCCGCCGAACTCTGTCTCACTCTCTTCGCTATATCCCGAAGATCCTCGTCCGGCGTGTCAAAAGGCATGAGCGTCGAAGACATTCGATGCCCGGCCTGTATGATGGGACTGTTTCCGGATCGCCTGTACCCGTTTGTTTTGGCGAGGAATTTCACGGGGTCAAGCATCGTCAACGCGCTCCCGTCTTCCTTCGGGGATACATCGAACGCTCGCATGGTAATCGCCTTAGCTCCATACCCCTTGAATAAATTGTAGTCAAGGCTGACTTTATGGTCAACCTTAGCGTGGTCCACTCCGTGTTCGTCAAACACTTTCGTGAGGAAGAACCTCCTGAACTTCCGTCCGTGCCCGTCCGCCCTCTCATCCTCGGATTTTATGATCCCTCCAAGACAGAACCAGTCGTCGGCC